TGTGTATACATATATGCGTTCATTTCTTTGGTATGTATCCAGAAGTAGACTTGCTGGATCATGTCGTAATTCTATTTTTGAATTTTCGAGGAGCTGCCATACTGTTTTCCACAGCAGCTGTACCATTTCACATTCCCACCAGTAATGTACAAGGGTTCCAATTTCTCCATATCCTTGCCAACACTTGTCATTTTCCGTTTGTTTGTCTTATAATAGCCATCCTAAACATTTATATCTGCTATAAACCAAAGGTTTATGTTTTTTCCCATTCATATTTTGAAACCTAATCTCCAGTGTGATGGTATTTGGAGGTGGTATCTTTGGGAGGTGATTTGGGCCATAAGGGTGAAGCACTCATGAATAGAATTAGTGCTCTTTTAAAAGGGACCCTAGAGAGCTCCCTTGCCCCTTCCAACATGTGAGGACACAACAAGAAGATTGTCTGTGAAGCAGCAAATGGGCCCTTATCAGACACTAAATGTGCTGGCACCTTGATCTTGTACTTCCCAGCCTCCAGAACTGAGACCTAAATGTTTGTTGTGAGCCATCCAGTGTATGGTATTTTTGTTATAGCAGCCCAAAGACTAAGATAATACCTCATTGTGTTTTTGAGGAAGCTGTATTTTTTTTTTTAATGTCCTGGGATGTCCAGACAAATGTAGAGACAGGGATGCAACTACATTTGGAAGCCAGTCACCACACTTCCAATGTTGTTCCTGCAAGAATTAGATACGAGATCATGGATTTGGAGTAGGTAGCAGGAAGGAGTAATTCTTGAACCAATCGGCATTCACTCTGCCTTGGCTAAACAAAGCAGAGCTGGCTTTATTACAGTTAGTTGAGTTCAGATGTGACATTAACAACATTTTTGTAAATGCTGAATGTTGTGAAATATCCCAATAAAGTCATAAAATCTCATCTGAAAGTGTTCATGCATTTTCCCGTGATCTAGTTTGGGAGGACTGGCTTTGGAGACAGGTATGTACTCAGGCATTTCCGTGTGATCTCGGCCAAACCTGTTAACTCCTCAGTTGTCATTCTTTCATTTTCAAGTTGTAGTATAAAGTGTAACAATCCTAAGTGTACAGCTGATGAAGTTTTGTATATGCACAAACCCATGTACCCACCACTCACATCAAGATACAGAAGTTTCCATCCCCTGCAAGGGTTCCCATGTACCCCACCACAGAAGGAACCAGTGAATGATTTCTATTTATGTAGATGAGATTTGCCTGTTTTTGAACCTTGCTTTACCTTGCAACTGGAGGAACAGATAGCGTGTACTCTTTGTGCTTAGTTAGCCATGGTGCCCATTTATCCTGGTGAGATTCATCCATGTTATGTGTATTAACCGATTGCTCTTTTTCACTGCTGTATACTATTCCATAATGTGAGCACACCACAGTTTGTTTCCTCATTCTCCTGCTGATGGACCTTTGGGTTGTTTTCAGAGTTTGCCTATTGTGAACAGAACCACTAGGAACATTAGCTATTGTGCATGTTTTAAAATTTTTTTATTTTTTTATGTTTATTTTTGAGAGAGAGAGGGACAGAGTATGAACAAGGGAAGGGCAGAGAGAGAGGGAGACACAGAATCTGAAGCAGGCTCCAGGCTCTGAGCTGTCAACACAGAGCCGGGTGGGAGGCTCAAACCCACAAACTATGAGATCATTATCATGACCGGAGCCAAGTCGGATGCTCAACCTACTGAGCCACCCAGGTGTCCTATATTGTGCATGGTTTTAGATGGACACACAGCCAGGAGTGGTGGCTGGGTGATAGGGTTGGCATGTTTCACTTTAGTAAGAACTGCCAAACATTTTCTGAAATCTTTTAACCGCTCTTTAAAACAGGAAAAACAAATCTCTGCCCGGTTATTGTGAGAGTATTTAGTGGACTCTTAAGGTATAAGGCTTCAAGCCTGTACCTGGAGCACAGTGGGGGCTCAATAATTTCTGGCCTCTACCGGAAGCAGAGGAAGGGTCAGGCAGTTGGCGAGCACTGTGGGGAGGTACCTGCCCCAGACCCTTGGGCAGAGGCCTTTCCCACACAGCAGTCAAGAACCACACCCAGAAGGCTGGGCAAGCCCACAGTGGCGCCCCTGCCCTGCTCCCACCTACCCAGCCTCCGTCCACCGTGATCCTGCTTCCTCGGGCCCAGCATTGGCGTCGCGCCCGTGCGAACTTTGGTGTCACCCGATATTTATTGAGCACTAACTGTGTGCCAGGCCCTGGGCGCCCAGGTGCAAACGACATAAAGACCTTCACTCCTCAAATTACTGGTTAGGAGGAGTAGGAAGCATGGGGACCACTGACTCCGAGATCAGCCATCCACTTGGATTCTGGCCAGACTCTGGATTTCTCCTAGAAGTTTCCCGAGACAAACACGGAAAGAAAATAATTTTATCTTTTGCGCCCCAGCAGGAACCTAGGTCGGTCCGGTGCACCCGTCCGACAAGTCCAGGCCCCCAAGCCAAGGCCAAGCACCCACCCCCGCCGCCCAGGGGCTCGGGCTGGCCGCGAAGCCCCGCCCCGCCGTTGGCCAATGGCCGCGCGGTCCCGCCCCTCCCCGCCCTCCCCCTCCCCTGTAGGGGAGGGTTCCGGACTGTCCCGGGAGGTCGGCCTGTCGGCGGGTGGTGGCAACCCGAGGTAAGATAGCCTCCCCGGGCGCTCGGTCCCGTCGGCTCAGGACGCGCGGACGCCTCCCCGGAAGGTGGCCAGCGGCGGCAGAAGCCGAGTGGGACTCGGAGTGCGCCCGGGCGCACGGGGTTCCGGGGCGCACGGGGTTCCGGGGACAGGTCTGGCCGCGCGGGTCTGGGGAAGGGCTGGTCTTAAGGGCACACGCGGTTCGCGGCAGCGAGGGCTCCACGAGCCTCAGCCAGCACCCGGGGTGTCGCCGGGCGTCTGCTGGCACTGGAGGGGAGGTTGGGCCGGAAGGAGGCAGGCACAAGCAGCTGAGGTCCTCCAGCCGCACCGGCAGGCCGAGGATGACCCTGGGACGAGGCCTAGCCGGGATGGGCCAACCTCCCCGAGCCGCGGCCGCGCCTAGGGGTCAGGGCCGCCGCCCTCCCCGAGATCTTTACAGTTCTCGGTGATGACACCTGCTCAGAACAGCCTCTCATCCTCCGCGGGCCTGGTCCCATCCAGGAATCCTAGCCAAAGCAGTGAGGCCTCGCCCCTCTGGGCCCGAAGATTATTTCTTTCCGGGACGCACTCAGAGCCTCCGAGGCTGTCGGGTAGGAAATTCTCCTTGCAACGTTGGTCCGCCCTTCTTCTCTGAGACCACAAGGAGGTGCTAAGAAAACATTGAAAAAACAAAACAAAACAACCCACCACAACAACACAGCAAACAACCACGTTCTCCACGCTGTGGAGCCTCAATAACTTCTAGAAGGATAGTCAGTTACCTGAGAACTGCGACTGCTGTAGAGGGCAGGTTAGAATGCTCTCAGCCTTGTCGGAACGATGTCCATTTCGCACAAGACAAGGACTAAATATTGCAGTCTCCCAGGGGCACCCTCACCCAGTGACCCCCCTCACCCAGACAGTGGCCTTGGTCCCTCTAGTACTGTGAGTCTCACTTGCTGCAGCTGCCCCCATGTTCTGCAAGATGTATGGTGAGCTGCAAGGAGGCAACAAGTCCTGGGTTCAAATCCTGTCAGGATCACCGGTCTGCTTGTGCAACCTGGCATCACTTCTCCTCTCCTAAATGAAAGAAACCCAGGATGTGCTTGCCTAAGTGGACCATCAATATGTGAACAAATGTGGGCTTCCTTTCTTTTTGGTTGGAGCATGTTATATTTCCATGCTCCCCAAACTGTGTTACTAAGGGCTGAGGCTCAGGTGCAGAAGAATGTGTTACCTGATTCTGTCCTGGTACCTCCCTGGATGCCATGGGAAAGAAGGAGAAAAGGGTCATTTCGTCACCATAGAGTTGTTCTTTGCTCATCTCCTGAAGGCTCAGAGGACTCCCACCCCACCACCTCCTTGATCCGCTTGACCTCTGTCATTAACACTTGCCCCACCAGGAATGTAGCACCTGGTGGCTGACGAAGGGAGGCAGGCAACATGAGGCTCTGAGGCCGGTAGATAGGACTGTCGCCCCATTTCCCATGTGGTGAGGGACTGGCAGCTCAGCTGTGCTCTGCAGCACTGCCTCCTAGAGTCCCACCCAAGACTGACACCACCTGGCCCTCCCTTTTCTGATCCCTTCCTTCCCAGAAAATCCACTTGGATATCTAGTAGCCTCTTAAGCTTTTTCAGAATGGATCTTTGGAGTCCTCTCTGTGCCACAACTTGCCCACCAGATTTTCTGGCTTGGAAAATGGCACCATCCATGCACCTAGTGCCTGAGGAATCATCCTTGGTTCTTCTCCCTTCTTCACCTCCCACATACACAACACACTAAGAATCCAGCCACCTCTCACCACCTCCATGGTTGGCATTCTGGCCATACCCTTCACGTGGCTCCCTGCTTGAGCCTCCTGATTTGTCTTCTTGCTTCCATCCTGGTCCCTCCACAGTCTAGCTCCTCACAACTACCAGGGAGGTCTTTAACATAAGTCAAATCCTCTCCCTTCCTTGTTCAGAAGCCTCCTATGGCTCCCCATTTCACTCTAGAGAGAAAAAAGTAAACCCAAAACTCAAAGTCTTTTCCTGCAACGCCCCCATAAGCCACCACTCCCAACCTCCTTGACCTTGATCTCAGCCCCTCCCCTAGTTTTTTAAACCTGGACCACCCGGAACTGATTTCTGTTCTTTAAACATGCCAAGCTTGGGGGCGCCTGGGTGGCGCAGTCGGTTAAGCGTCCGACTTCAGCCAGGTCACAATCTCGCGGTCCGTGAGTTCGAGCCCCGCGTCAGGCTCTGGGCTGATGGCTCAGAGCCTGGAGCCTGTTTCCGATTCTGTGTCTCCCTCTCTCTCTACCCCTCCCCCGTTCATGCTCTGTCTCTCTCTCTGTCCCAAAAATAAATAAACGTTGGAAAAAAAAAAATTTAAACATGCCAAGCTTGTTTCCACCTGAGGACTTCTAATTTGCTGTGCCCTCTGCCCAAAACACTGATCTCACAGTCCAGAATGGCTCATCTCAAATGTCATTAATCCAGAAAGACTTCCTGACCAACTCTGCCTAGGCAGCATGCCCTTCTACAGGAGTTCTGTCTTCTTATCCTCCTTTATTTTCTTTATAACCTTGATTATTGTTTGGAATTTTTATTTATATGTATACTTACTGATTTGTCATCTGTCCCACCTCAATAGAATATAAATTGGATGATGGCAGAGATCTTATCCCTCTTACTCCCTACAGCTCTCCCTGAGGGGGGAAGCAGGTAAGAAATTTGCAGACAGCCCCATCTATAATTGCAAATTGTGGTAAGTGCTACTTAAGGCAATTGCTTGTAATTGAGGCGCTTGTAAATGTCAAGTTTACTAGGTTGAACTATTGTGTTGTCAAAATAAGCTCTCTGAGCCATTTTAGGGGTGAAGACAAGCCTGGAAAAGACTGGTAATTTGCCCCAGATCACACATAGTGATTGGAACTCAGCCTCCTATCCTAAGAACATGTATGTGGCAAGCTTTAATGGTGGGCCTGCAATCATGTTCTGGAAAGAAACTGATCCTCGAGCCTGATAATTTTCCACTAACTAGCAAGCCCTTATTCTTGGTACTTCATTTTCTTCACCTTTAAAGTAGGATGATCTTATTATTATCCCTTTGGGCTTTTTTTCTCCCTAGTACACCCCAAAGAAGTAGCACTTCTTGCTTTCAGCAACGAGGGGCACATACAGACCTTAGGACAATGGCAGGGAGTCAGAACTCTCCGCAATACCAACCAACCTACAAGACAGAAATGGGGCCTAGATCTTCTGGATCTTATTTCTTTTGTTCATCAATTCATTTTTTATTTTTTGAGGGACTCTGGACTTGGGCAGTAATAAAATTGGATGATTAAAGAAAGAAGCAAAACATTCCAAAGAGTTGAGAAAGAAAGAAGTAATTGCCTTTTGTCCGATCCCACTCCCAACTCTGTTGCCATATGTGGTGTGTTTTCTTCCAGTCTTTTTTCCCCTCTCAGCCCATCCTTTTTTGGGCCAGTGCCCTCTGTCACTTCAGAACCTGGACAGCGATGACGTTTGCTGAGGACAAGACTTACGAGTATATCCGCCACCATTACAGCAATTTTGGTCATATTCATGTTCTGGAGATCCTGCCTTATCTGTCCTGCCTCACAATAAGTGACCAGGTGAGCTGGGGCATGCCAGCCAGCCACTGACTTGGGGCAGGCTGGGGGTTCAGAGCTTCACCCAAAGCCAGGGCCAACTCCTTCCTTCTTGGTTATTGTCTGCATCCTGCTTCCTGACCTTGACGCTTCTCTAACTTGCGGAATCAAGTGTGGGTCAGGATGGCTGAGCGCCCTCTCGTGTCCGTTTGGTGTAGTGCTAAAAAATATGGTGCCAGCTGCCTGAGATTTCTGGGCTTCAATCCCCATTCTGCTTCGGTGGGAACCTTCCTTTTCTTCAGTCTGTCTTGTCATTACTCCTCCTCAGTTTTGACTCCGTTCTCCTTGTCATGGAGCTCTGTCCTGGCAGGGAGTCCAGGGCTCAGTTTTGAGAGTTCATGGGAGCCAGACCACCCTCATCTATTAGAACTGGCTGTGGCCCCAAGTGAAGCCGGGCCAGCCGCCTCCCAGTTTTAGCTGCTCCCAGATGGCCCGGGCCCTCTGCTGCCTCAACGCGGCTGAGGTGGCAGTGGTGAGGTGGCCGTAGCGGTGGAGCAGGCCTGTGGCTGACAAGGTCTGCCCCTGCCCTCCTGCCTTGCATTTGGGGGCTTGTGGGGATGCCTTGTGACCAGGTCTGCAGTAAATGTTTTCTGTGGCTTTTCGTTTCTGCTGTCTGGGTGCTTGTCTGAATGTGGGAATTCAGTCTGTATGTGAGATTTAAAACCTTTGCCGCCCCGAGATTCCCCATCCTCCTGATTCTTAGGTCAGCTGCCTCTCTTCTCCTTTTGCCTCCTTTCATCTCCTGTTCCCTATGCACCCTTTTCCTCCTCTGCTAATCCAAACCCTTTCTTTTTGCTTTGGGGGCTGCATAAACTGAGGAACTGCCAGGTTCCTCACCAGTAGAGTAGGGATCATGGCATTAAGATAATTCACACACAGCCCTGAGCTCAGAGCGTGGCACACACTAAAAGCCTACTTCCTGGAAGCTGCCTTTACACTTGGGCCCAGACACTGGCCTTGTCCTGGGCTCTGACCTGGTTTTGCATGGCTGCCGCACTCTTGTGGCTACTTGGTGTCTCTCTCTGCAGCTGTCCCTGAGTGGGGAAGGGTCCAGGGCCATCTGGCTTGAACAGGGCATCTGGCTGTGTTCCAGGACCGACTGCGGGCCTACTACCAGCTCTGGGGGAACCAGGGCACCCTCTGGGAGCTCTTCAACAGCCTTCGGCGGCGGACTGGCTGGGTGGAATCCTTCATCAAGGCCCTGAGGATCTGTGAGCTGGCCGGTCTTGCTGACGAAGTGGCCTCTGTCTACCAGAGCAACCTGCCTGGTGAGCTTCTTGCCCTGGCCCTCCTCATGGAACCCCTGTCGTTCCCCTGGCCTCCACTCTGTCTGTCCCCTCACCCCTGTACCTCCTGCCTTCCACTGTCCCCTTCCCTCCCATCACTCCTGGGCAGTGGACAAACCTGGGTGTCAATCCCAGCTTAGCCTCTTGTTAGTCATGTCCCTTTGGTGAAGTGCCTTAATTTCCCTAAGCCTCAGTCTTCTTCTCTGTAAAATGGGGTTAATGGCCAGACATCTACGTCATAGGGCTGTGGTGGATACCATGGGACAGTGGGTGGCATGTTGAGTGCTTAGCTGGGACTGGGTGCCTCCCGTGTGCTCAGCAAGTGGGCCTTCTAATCTGTGTGGCTGTGACATTTGCCTCCCATTCCTTTCCCGTTTCCTGTCTTCTCCCTCAGTTCACCTTCCCTCTCTCCATTCCTCTCTTCTCTTCCTCCGCTTCATGTCTCCTCTTTCTCCCTCATGGGTTCCTTCTTCCTTTCTCTCATCTCTTCCTCTCCCCCTAGCATCTCCTGGAGCCTTCTAGGTCCCCCACTCCAGCTGCCCAGTTACTCCTCAGCTCCCTTTCAATGCTCCCTGCCAGGTTGAGTGCCCAGAGGGATCTGGTCAGGTCAGGTCTGAGGGGACAAGACAGGAAGAAAACTCAAGCCAGCCCTATGCATGTTTTAGACTAGAGACGACTCCTGAGACACTGCTTAGATTTAAAGCCTTAGAACAGCCCTACTCCCCCCCTCCCCCCGCCATTTGCTTTCTTTTTTTCCTCCCTTCTTTCTGAGGAAACAGCATCAGGTCAGGGGTTAGTTAGGGGTGACAACCGCCTACAAGGAGGAGAAGAAAGCCACTGGGTTCCAGAGTGCTGAGGGACAGCGAAGTGGTGATTGCTGACCCAGTCTGGGTTGTGAGAGGCCTGTGAGATGCCCCGCATGCTCCCCACCCCCATTCCCTTCTCTTCTACCCCTCCACTCCTTCTACCTCTTCTTGTCTTTGTCCTCCCTACCTCCTCTCTCCTTCCTGCCTCCAACTCAGTGAATCTTGTCTCTTCTAAGGAGTACATCCCACCTCAGGACAGCTTTTGGAGCTGTGGGGGGGGGGGGGACTATAGTCATGGCTCTGGGGGTCCAGGAGCATCCAGGCCTCTCCTGTCACTGGGAGTTCCTCTGACTCCTCCTTGACATCACTGTATCTTTGTCTTCCAGGGGTCCCGAAGAACTGCCCCCCAGCCCCACTGGAGCCACAGTTAGCTCCTGCTGAGGTTCCAGGGCCCTCCACACCTGCCGTGGCCCCCAGCGCCCCCCACAACGGCTACAGAGAGGAGGAGCCAAGTTTCCCCATGCCTGTCCAGGACACTGAGCCGCCAGAGTCCCTAGGAGAGGTGTGTTCTCACGCCTAGTCTGGACCCCTGCTTTTGTGTTCCTGTCTGCCCAGCCTCTAGAAGCTCTCCTCTGCCGCCACCACAAGTCATGCCTAACCTCTGCTCAGAACCTAAGGGCTCCCCCAATGGAGATATGCCCCAAACCAGCTCTCAGACTGCTGACTAGGGCTTCACCCTATGGCAACCCCCAACCCTCTTATCAACCAGCTGTGAGGTCACAGTATGGAGGTCTTTGAAGTGGTCCGTGTGAGATGTTGAGCTGGACCGAAGGACTGGAGAATGACCACTGGAGGAGTACTGGGGAAGGAGGAGGTGATGGGGTAGAGGGTAGATGGAGTAATTATTGCCAGTAAAGTCAAGTTCAGGGCGAAAATTACTGATTCTATTGAGATGTGATGAGCAGGCAGCAGGGTGTTCAGGAGACACCAGATCATGGACTTGAAGCCCAAGAAAGGGGTCTGTGCAGTAGCCTCAGAGAGGAGGACATTTGATAGGGCCAGGCCGATGAACAGAGACTCCCCATGGGATGGTGTGTGTTCTCTGTAAGGTACGTTCCTGTGGACAGAGGGTCTGGCAGTGATCAAAGCCGGGGCGAGGGGCTTCCCTGGTTTCTGTGCTCCATGGCACAGGCTGAGGCCGGTGGGAGATGCTTGATCCTGGGAGAAGCAGCTGCCTCATTTCCATTTTCCCTCTTGCAGAGTTCAAAGAAAGTCCCACAGACACCCAGTTCTGGGACTGTCCTGAGGAGGCCAGCTGGCCCCCTGGAGCCCTCCTCTGACATGGCAGCCCTCAGCCCTCTGACCTCCAGTGGGTGTCAGGAGCAGGACACAGAACCAGGCAGTGCCCACATAGCAGGTACGTATGTGACCTGGAGCCATAGGACCTCTCGGACCTCCCAGAGGGTGAAGACTAGAGTTGCCCCTCTGGCTTCCTTGGACAGGAGGCGAGGGTGGGAATAAAGGGAGTTTACCTCAGGAGCAACCCAATTCCTTGAGGGTGTATTAGTATTTTCTACGTAACAACCCATTCCAACATTTAGTAGCCTAAAATAGGACTATTTAGCTCATGATTCTGTGGGTCAGCAATTTGGGCTGGCTCAGGGTACTTCTTGGGATCTTGGCTGGATTCCCTCTTGCGTACACACCCGTGTACGCACTGCTTACTTACGCCTGTTGGCGGGGGGCGGGGCACCTTGGTTCTCTTCAGTGAGTCCTCATCTTTCACCAGACAAGTCTGTTTCCTGGCAGCTGAGCAGAATTCTGAGAGAGCAGACTCCTGGGGCAAAGGCTCAAAACTGGCAGTCTTCCCTCCTGCCTCATTCTGTGGCCCAAACAAGTCCCGGGGCCAGCCCAGAGTCAAGGAGTAGGGAACAGACTGTCTCTAGATGAGAGGACTGACAGTCACATTGCAGAGGGTGTGGATACAGGCAGGGGAAGAGCATTAGGGCCATTTGTGGATTCTGCTGAGGGGACCCTGTGGGGTTCACCAGGACCTGGAGGACAGTGTGGAAGAGCTGGGCTACTTATTGGCAGGGGCCCTTAGAGCCCTTAGGTGCTGCCCTACCCGTAGTGGGGCTCTAGCTCCCAATGAATCACTAAAACTTCTCAGCCCCCAGAGGAAGTATGATTTTCATCAGTTAAGGGCCTGGGCCCCAAAACCAGATCTCAGTTCCCACCCTCGGGAATATAGAGCTGTCCACTCTGACTTCCCAGGATGGCATCTCTCTGCTCCGTTGTTTCCTAAACTGTATTCCACGTAACACTATAGCCTGACCAGCCTTTGGTGCCCCTGGGACAGCCACAAGGCACCTGAACAGTTAAAGGCTCCGAGAAGCCATCTCAGTGTCCTCCACTCCTTTCACCCCAGAACTCTTCCCCAAGCACCCATTTGTACTTTGCAGTGTCAGCTTGCCATGGGACACCTTTCAGGAAATGCTGCTGTGGACCAGGGAGGCCGAGGGCACTTAGATTTCAATACATGCGTGGATACAGGTCCCACGAGGTTCTGTGGTGTCAGATTTTGGTGGGGGTGGGGTGGTACATCAGAATTACTTCTGGCCTTTGTCAGCCATAGGGCCTGGCACGTGTATTCTCAGAATACCATGGGGGATCTGGATATAAATGCCTATATGGACTGTTACCACCTGCTGAGCCATCGTGCTGCCCTTTGCCATGATGCAGGGTGGCTCCTACTGGTGGGGGAGGGGAAGGTGGCAGAGGGAGGAGCATCCAGAATTCCACCAAGCTAATGAGCAGACACAGGAGGAAACGAGGGTGTCCCAGGCAGGAGAAGAAAGAGGAGAGGATAATTAATGATCTTCAAGCTCCTAGATGCTGTAAAGGGGAGGAACCATTTCATTCTTATGAGAGAACAGACTTGACTTTAGGTCAAGGACTAAGGCTAGATAGGGCTGAGGATGCGCCTGCAGCTGTTGGACCTCGGGGCCTGGGAGCAATGACCAAAGGGACTGTGGAGACTCCATGGGAGGATGTTGGGAGGCCTGGGTGCAGTAGGGACTTGAGCTGGGGAACTGAGACCCTTCTTCAGCTCTCTGATCCCAGGTGACTGTGCTTTTAGGGTAACAGTCCTGTGGGTTTGTGTTTTCCCTTTTATTTTACCACCTGCAGGCATGGCCTCCAGCCTCACATCACCCCGTGGGCCTGTGTCTCCATCTGTCTCCTTCCAGCCACTGACCCGTTCCATCCCCAGGGCAAGCCGCTTGCCAGGACCCTCAGTATCAGCTCCGCCTACTGGCATCTCCTCCTCTTCCCCTGGCTTGGCCTCTTCAGGGGGTGCTGGTGACCATGGTGAGGCTGGAGCCGGGGTGTTGGCCAGCTCATTGACCACCAGCGTGGCACCCTCCAAAGTGCCTACCAACTCAGCATTTGATAGAACGATGCCTTCCAAGTTGCCTGCCAGCTCGAAACCCTCTGGTACAATGTCTACTAACGTGCTCACTAGTCTACCGCCATCCAAACTGCCTATCAACTCCACACGTGCTGGCACAGTGGCACCCAAGGTGCCTACTGGCTTGGTGCCTGACCACAGGATGTCCACAAGCACAGCGCCCAGCACGGTGCCTGCCAACACAGTGCCCCCCGTCAGGAGCAGCATATCCTCAGGGGTGAGTCTTTGCCCTTCTACCAGTGATCCAGGCTTTCCCCCCGAGCCCTATCCTTGGACCCTTTCCAGTCTCCATTCTGTCTCCAGCCTGGGCTGTGCCAGGGCTTCTTTTCAAGGGTATAGGGATAGCTGAGATCCAGCCTCTTCTGGACCCCACACCAAATCCTTTAGAGTACTAATAATCATTAGAGCTCTTGAGTGTGGATTCCTAGGAGGGGTGGGTGTGGCGGCCATTCCCACTGGTCATGTGCATCAACCCGTTTAGAGCTCAAAGCTGTACATTAGGCCTAGCAGCACCATTTTGCAGATGAGGGAACTATGAGGGATAGAGCTGGATGGCCTGTCTGCCTCAATGTCTTGCTCTTCACCCCCAGGATATCCAGTCTGCTTCTCCATTATCAGGGCTTTGTAGATAGCAGTCTCAGCCTGAGACAGCCACACTGACCCAACAGCCCCCCACAGCTGCCCCTTCTGGGCCAGCACATCTAGTCCTGCTCCTGTTGTCTGCCTGGAAGAACCAAGTCCAAGGGACCCGTTAGGCACATGGCCAGGCCTCTGACCCTGTGGCTGCTCCATGGCCTCAGCCCTGGCAGAATGTTGAAGTAGGATGGGGCCACAACTGCCAAGGGCTCTAGGAGAGCAGGGGTGAGCTCACAAGCAGGCCAGTGAGTAGGGAGAGGGGTACCTTGGAGAAAGTTACCACTGATACCACTGCAGAGGCTTGGACACCTCCTCTCTCAGTGCCCTCCTGCACCATCATTGGGTTGAGTCTCCAAGAGAGGGTGGCTTCCTCCCATACTGTGGGCTGGGAATTGGAGGGTTGAGATGCTAGTTCATGTATTGGCTGGGAATGGGGCCACCCATTTGGGTGTCCGGCCATCCCCAGTCCCTTCCAGCCCTTCCTTTCTTTCTCAGGAGACTCCTCCAGTGGCTCCAGAGCCCACAGGCACCTCCACCAGAGACAGCTTGCCCGAGCCAGACCACAACCCTGCCACCTGGGGCTCCGAGTTGGAGCTGAGCAAGCCTGGCCGGCTGGTCTCCCACATGGACAGTGAGCCGTTCTCAGGCTGCTCTGCGGACCTGGCCCTCAGCTGCAGCAAGTCCTTGGGCGCAGGGCCTGACAACGCCCCAGAGGAGAATGAGTACCAGTCAGTGGAGTCCATTAGGATCCAAGTGGCCCAGGATCCCAGCATTAACCTGGTAGAGGGTAGTCCCGGGCCTCCTGCTGCCCCACAGCCCTCAGTCAAGGACAAGTTTGTCCCGGCCAGATTCTATGCTCCATGGCTTGGGGCAGCTGCAGCTGGGGCTCTCTTCGCCATGCTCTTGGCTGTGCTGTATAGGCGGCGCCTGTGAAGCCCCTAGGGCCTCCCTGTCCCGAGTCTGCTCCCTTCCCTGCAGGACATCTAGCCCAAGCACGGACTGTACTATCTCCCTGTCTTGTCCCTTTCATGGGGCTCGTGGAGCCTGGACCTGAGGAGAGCCGGGGGTGGGGGGTGGGGGGGTGGGGTGCACAGACTGAGTGCAGACCAGATTTCTGTCCCAGCCCATGCCCTCCCCATGTACTCCAGACTTCACACACCCCACAATCTGGTCTGTGGCCTTTATTCTCTGGAGGAGGTGAGGTACCCCCATCCAGACCCTGTTTGCTCAAGTCCACAGATGAGGTGGTGCTGCTAGATCATGCAGGGGGTCAGAACCCCCCGCCTCCCCCCCATCCTGCCCTGGTGCCTGGTGGCCAGCAGATGTGCAGGGTGGGGGATCCCACAGGACCTTGCTCCAGACCCTAAAAGCCCCAGGAACGTAAGGGTGATCCATTTCCAGAGACCTGGCTGCTTGAGGTCCCCCAAGAAGCGAGGGAAGTCCAGAGGTTCCCCTGGACCCCTAGGGAACCTAAGGCAGCTGCTAGGCCTGAGGACTGTCTCTGAAGCCCCTCTCCAGTCTCCTCACCCCCATTTTCCCTTTCCCTCCCTCTGGTCTCCGTGGTCTTTAGCTTGGTGGTGGTGGGGAGGGGGGTTTGGGAAGGAGAGACCTGCCAGGGTAAGCTCAGGCCAAGGTTTGGATTTCAGCTCCACCCCTTCCTGGGCTGTGTGGCCTTGACAAGATGATCAGACTTCTCTGGTCTTGCTTCCCCACATGGCCAGTATCATGGCTCATTTCCCCTGGGCTCTTCTGAGATTGAAGCACACAAGTGTTTGTCAAGTGCCTGCATTCCCCAGAGTAGGTGACTGCTGATAGCTGCCCCTACCTCTCCCCTGCCAAGCCTGGTAGACATGAGGGTATAAGAGGCAGAATGCCCAGTGGGTAAGGGTGCAACTCTGTAGTTTGGGGTGGGGCCTGTACCCCACTCGAACTTTCACTCACTCTGTGCTCTGTCATTGTGCTCTCTATTAACCTCTCTGTGCCTCAGTTTCCTCAGCTGTAAAATGAGGATGAATAGTAAAATTTTATATGTATAGAAAAACAAATCTCCTAGTGTGATGAGGATTAAATGAGTTTATCTATATGACTCTTAGAATGGTTCCTGGCCTTTATTAAGTGTTGGATACATGGTGCTGTAAATGTGGAGGGGTTGGAGTGATTGGCTACACCTTACGAGGCAGATCCAGACCCTGCTACCTCCCCTCACTCCCTTTATATTTGTTTCTTATTCATCTTGTGCATTGGGGAGCGGGGAGGGAGGCATGTCTAGTGGCAAAGCAGTGCAGGGTGAGGCCTGGGGCCCCCCAGCAACCAGATGGGTTGGGGAATATCCTCATGGGTTCTTTTCAGGCAGTCCTCTCTGGACAAGAAGCAGGCATAGGACACCCAGAAGCCACTTCCATTCCTGTTCTCTGCACGAGACAGACTAGCACTCTGGGGGGATACTGGGGGTAGTAGCTGTGTACTCCCCCAAATGTCAGCTGGTAAGTCCTGTACCCTGCTTTGGCTGCTAAGGCCTTTCTTTGCATTGCCCTAGGGGGCTTCAGTGACCTCCACCTTGAATGACCTCTCCTCCCTCTGAATTTCTTTTCAACCCTCAATCCAAACCCACCAGCCTGCACCCTAAAATCAGGAGAGGTCCTTACCCAAGTTGTCTGCACCACTCCCCATCACCTTTGCTCTTAACCAGCCCTCTTTTAGCCCTCCCTCATTCTCAGATACCCAGGTCAGTAAAAAATTCATGGACAGGTACTAGTTTTATTATTTTTTAAATTTTCTTTCATTCATTCATTCATTCATTCATTCATTCATTCATTCATTTAAAGTAATCTCTACACCCAACTTGGGGCTCCAACTCACAACCCCAAGATTAAGAGTCATATACTCTACTGACTGAGCCAGCCAGACACTACCCCCTGGTACTAGTTTTAATGTGTTACCCTCCCAGGATAGCTTTGGAAAAGAGTATCTCAAGAAAGTAATATGTAGTCCCAAAGGATGTTACTTAGCTGGTGGAATTTCAAGCACAATGAGCAGCCATGTGGGAGAGACCTTTGTGTAAGGTGTATAGGAATCATTCAGGGACCTACCAGGCATTTTTCAGATTTTTAAAGATTTTTTTGAAAGATGGAGAGCACATGAGTAGGGGGGAGGGGCAGAGGGGGAGAGAGAGAGAGAGAGAGAGAGAGAGAGAGAGAGACAGAATCTCAAGCACAGAGCCTGACATGGGGCTCAATCCCATGACCATGGGAAAATGACCTGAGCCAAAATCAAAGAGTCGGATGCTGAACTGACTGAGCCACCCAGGTGCCCCCTACCAGGTAGTTTTCAAATGATGCTGCCCAGAAGCCCTAATCCTGGCCTACGTGAAACAGCATCCCTACTTTGGCCGTTGTCAACTGAAGGTCTCTAAAATGCCAACTTGAAGCAGGGTTGGGAATTGGCCAGTACAATGAGGCCTGTGGCCAGGAGAGGACTTGGGATAGTTGGTAAGATATGTCAGATTTCAGGAATCCTGGGGTTTGAAGTGAGGCTTTCAGCTGCAGGAGGGTGTGTAGGAGGAGAATGACACAGGTCACTCCCACCACCATGGCCTGGACCACATAGAGGCCAGAACCCCAGGAGAGGACAGAGAACCTCTACCCTCAGTAGACTGGGAAACTTGGCACCTATACTGGGAGACTTGGCAAAGCACACTTCACCTCAGGGTGAAGGCCGGGGTGGGGCCAGAGTCTCAGTGCCATCCTGATCCGTTAGGGACTCACCACCTGTCAAAATACAATCCCTCTCTACCTTGTCTCTCCTGCTAAAACATTTCCCTCAGAACGTATGAGCCACCATGGCTTTTTTCTCCTTGGGAAATATAGACCTTGCTTGATAATCTACTGAAGCCAGACCAATGCCGTACCTTCCCCTTGTTTTCCTTGCTGGATACGCTCAGATTTAATTGGGTTTAGGGGGAATTTCTGGTCAGAGACCAAGAAGATGCCCTTTGCCCTGCCAGGCATTAGATCATTCATAGCTTCTTTTTAAGAAACATTATTTCTGATGGAAAGCTTTCAAACACACAAAAATAGAATATAAGAAATGTATATAAGAAATATATATAAGAGAAAACAGAAGGAGAACCTACCATGTGCCTACCACCCAGCTTTAATAATTACGGACTCATGCCATTGTTGTTCATCCCTGCCCGATTCCCCCTTTTCTGTACAGGCTCCTTTTGTAACTCAGAGTGAGGGGTTCAGAAAGCCACGGGGCACATGTGGGTTGGGAGAATTTTGTGGTAAAGGCCCTCTATTTTCTCCCAAGGCAGCATTAGGCATTCCCCTGTTGGTTTCTTGGCCATGGGGGGCATCCCATTTGAACTAGTGCAAGGAGTGAGCAGCCCTGGGTTCCTGTCCTAGTGAGAGGGCACCAAAGGGGGTTCTTCCACTGACAAGCTCCTTGGAGGTGTCTGGCTACTGCTTCTGTCCCAGAGAGGCAACAGTTGGGGGTGTCCCGTGGCAGCTTGCCCATTGCACCAGGGGCCTCCTCCAGGTTCTGACAGAGCCTTTCCAGCAGGCAGAAATTACCCAACTGGGCCGGTTCAAATTCCACAGCATGTTTCCTGCTCTAATAGGAGTCTCCCAGGAATGGAGTCGGTTAGGCCCTGAGGTCACTTGCTTTCCATTGAACGACCGTCACTAAACCGATGGCCTAGAATTGCCCCCTACCTCCCCACAGGAAAAGGAGTGTTGGCATTCCTAGTCTAATCAGTGGTGGAAGGGATTCTATAGATGAAAATCACATGCTCTCCCTGGGCTCACCTTTCTGCTCTTTTCCTTGGAGCCTAGGGCCGTGAAGTTTACAGCTGGTGTTGGGCATGGTCACCCAGTATTCCTCACTCCTGCAGCTGCTGTTAATAACAACAGCAATAATAAAAAGGGCCACTGCTTACCCCGTACTTTGCTGCGTGCCAGGCGCTGGGCTACGCACTTTAAATATATTAACTCATTTAATCCCCAAACAACCCTATAAAGGAGGTACCATTATGACCCAACGTATAGCTAGTCTGCAAGACTGGGAGGGAGGAAGGACCAGAGGACCAAGGGAAAACTCTGACCCCTGAGCCCCCAGAGCTAGACGTGTTCTACGCTCATGACCCACAGCTGATTGGATGCCTTGGAGCCAGGACCCCATTTGAAGTGAGATTTCACACCAACACATTCCTGCCCAGGGTGCCAAGATCTGCCCCATGGTGTAATAGTGTAATAATGTGCAGTATTATAATTAATAGTCTTGGAGATATTGTAACAATTGGACTACAATCGTTGTATGTGTGCTCAGGCTTAACGGCCTAAGGCTGTGTGAGGCAAAGCAGTGGGCTCGAGACTAAAATGCCAGGTCTCCAGAGGCCAGTTTGGTGTAGCATACATCGTTTATTAAAGGATTCTCCAGTGCCAGGTCTAAGGCCTAATATGAGTTAAGACCCTTGGGGCGCCTGGGTGGCTCAGTTGGTTAGGCGTCCGACTTCGGCTCAGGTCATGATCTCGCAGTTTGAGCCCCGCGTCGGGCTCTGTGCTGACAGCTCAGAGCCTAGAGCCTGCTTCGGATTCTGTGTCTCCCTCTCTCTCGGCCCCTCCCCTGCTCACACTCAGTCTCTCTCTGTCCTTCAATAATAAACGTTAAAAAAAAATTTTTTTTTTTTAAAAGACCCTTGCTTACTCTCCAGTGGTTGGGAATGACTCACAAAATGTGGTGGAGACGAATGGGCTTTAATATCATACTTTCATGTATTTATACAATATTTTGCACCTCCTGTGTGCAGAGTATTGGGAAATGCCTTGGAGACACAGAATAACAAAGCAACACCCCACCCTAAGGGCCCCCTTCCACCACCTATTGTTTCCAGTCCAATAGTGAGCGGTCTAAAGGGGGATGCCTGAAGCAAAGGTGGGGGTAGGGAGAAGGGACAAGTGTTGTTTTGATCAGTTATATACTATTAATAATTACAATAACTAGGGTTGCCTGGATGGCTCAGTCAGTTAAATGTCCAACTCTTGGTTTCGGCTCAGGTCATGATCTCACTGTTCGCGAGATCGAATCCAGCGTGGGGCTCTGCACTGACAGTACAGAGCCTGTTTGTGATTCTCTCTCCCCTCCCTGCTCCTCCCCCTCTTGAACACACGTGCGCGCACTCACACGCTCTCTCTTCCTCTCTCTCAAAAATAAGTAAATAAACATTAAAAAAAATAATTGCAAAAACTAAACCCAGGAAAACAGTAACACTTAGAAACTATAGGGAATAAGAAGAAAATGAAGTGTAAATTTACAAAGACGCCTAAGCAGAAAGGCTATAGTGAAAGTGTCTGACAAGATCAAGTGCTGGGGCACCTGGGTGGCTCAGTTCGGTGAAGTGTCTGACCTTGGCTCAGGTCGTGATCTCACGGTGAGTTGGAGCTGTGTGTCAGGCTCTCTGCTGTCATCACAGAGCCTGCTTCAGATCCTTTGTCCTCCTCGCTCCCTGCCCCTCTCCCACGCGCACGCGTGTGCTCTCTCTGTCTCTCAAAAATGAACCAACATTAAAAACAAGCAAAACAAGATCAAGTACTGATGAAAACACAGAGCAACTGAAACTTTCACAGACATTTGGGGGTATATAAATTGGTAAAACTGTTGGCAAACTGGCAGTACCCTACTGACAGTGACCATATGCATAACTTAGGAGGTAGCAGTTCCGCTCCTGGGCATGAACACAACAGAAACAAGAGCTTATGTCTACCAGAATGTGTGCAAGAATGTGTCTTTTTTTTCTTTTCTTTCTTTCTTCCTCCCCTCCTTCCTTTCTTTTTCTTCTCCTCCTCCTCCT